GCTGTATATTATTCCGTCTGGCACACACACACGCACACACACACACACGCACACACACACACACAATTGTTGTGGTTATTTTTTTGTTTTTTGTTTTTTTTTTCATTTTGCGTAAAATACGCGGCACGCCTTGATGTACGAGTATCGCTAGCTGCAGTTTTGGGCTTGCAGTTGCAGTTGGAATTGGAGTTGTTGCTGGGCAATATCTGCATTTTATACACGCTGTAGTTGCTGCTGCTTCTTCTTTTTGCTCTTTCGTCAGCTTCCGCTCGTCGGCGGCGGCATCCGCCATCATCATTGCTGCCATTTTGTGCGCACTGACCCGCTTTTTGCGCTTTTCCCATTACGTTTTGGTTTTGCTATTTCGCCTCTTTATACACTGTTTAACAAAGCGTAGCTGAGTATATGGCTATACGAAAGATTTGTCTGTTTTGCAGTCGCAATTTCTATATACTCCGTATATATTGCACCCACCTATCGTCTATCTTAGAGCTTATGATCAAGCAGAGACATTTCTTGTCATTTTGCTTAACTTCATAGTGCGCTGTGTACAGAGTATTGCACAGTCGCTTATATCCGGCTGCCACGTTTCCAACTTGTTTATTTTGTTTGTCTTCGTATTTGGTTTTATTTTTCGCCCTCTTGCTTACTTATTTATAGTATAACTGTTTCATTGTTGGCTCCCGGGCATGAACTATCTGTGTTTATATGTGTGTGTTGTGTCAGTGTATGGCCAGTGTTTGCACAGGGTGCACGAAATCAGTTGTGCCATGTAGTTTTCATGTTAAACGCGCTCAAAATTAATGGTCACACATAGACAGACACACACACAGACACTGCACACACCAAACACATTGCGCACACACACACACACGCTCTTTTGGTAGTTTAGAAATAGAAACGAACGTTATCGTTACAAATGTGCTTTCCGCTGCCTGTCAGCGTGGCTACAATTCGCGGCCGCGTCCTGACTGCCGAGAGTCGTCCGTCGCTTCTTCGCCTTGTTTCTCGTTGATTTTGATGTTGTCCTGCTGCACGCGGCGTGGACCATGCCTCAGCTATCCCAGCCCCGCTTCCTCTCTACTCTTGCTCGTATCTCTGCCTGTTCACATGCATTTAATATTTGCCTGCAGCTAAATCAAATTGTTTTTCTGCTTCATTTTTTTCTTCTTGCCGCTGCGCACAGTTTATTCGCGTATTTTTTTAATGTTATTTCTGTTATTTTTGTTGTGTTCTTTTTTTTTGTAGTTTTTTGGGTTCTGCTTTGCCCACAGTTGGCCGCATAAAAAATTGAAGATAAATGTCGGTAAATGTAATTTTTAAAAGCTCTAATATACTGCGTCCATTTACGCTACGCTCGCTATTTGTTCTGTCCGTGGACAGAATAAGAATTTTGATTGCATGCGGCAACAATTTGTGGCGCAAATTATCTATTTTTTAGCCATCAAGCAATTAAAAACCATAAATTTATCAATCTGTTAATAATGGGGGAGAGTAATATAATAGTAGAGCCAATATTTGAGAAGAACTTTTCAATTATTTTGTAAATTGTATTCTTCATTTAACATTTTTTATTTATATTTTGATAATTGGGCAGATGCCATAAAGTTGAATATCAATCTTCAAGACTAATAACTTTCATATATGATTCAATTTTGCAAAAAGTTGGGCCCCCCTTCTCGACCCTTTCACTCGTTTAATAAGAAATATACGAGTTTTGCCAGTGGCAGCGACCGCATTAGCAACGTCCAACGGGGCATTAATATTTAAAAGTCAGCTTTGAAACTTGTTTGACAGGCTGTCAGGACATGTTTACCAGTAAAGGGTAGCAATGTTATCCAACTGACGTCAAATTGAAAGCATGTGCGGAGCGAGCGCATATGTTCACACACACACACACACACACACACACACATACAAGCACACATGACAGACAGTTCTTGAGAATTTAGATTTAAAAAAAAAAAAAGAAATGGAAAACATAAAAATAAATAAACGTAGGGTGCTTGCAGTCAGAAGCAGCCGACTGCGCAGATACTGTAGTTGCCTGATTAGCAGGGCGTTCAGTGGGCGTGGCATATCTATTTTTGCTCTGCTATTTTAAGGCGATGCGCAGTTGTCCTTGGCAGACTGTTGTATTATGATTGAAATTTGCAAATTGTAGGTTGTCTTCACATATTGTTGATAAGCATGATTGCTTGTGGGCGTGGCAGGGGCATCTATGCATTAGCACTAATTTATATATATATATATACAACAGTTCGTGATACTTTGAATTCGACAGAGATGCGGACAGCACTAGTTGCACATACAACCTTTTAAGACGTATGCAAACAGAGTATAGAAAGTACTTGGAAATTGTGCACTAAGTCGTTGGGAATACTGTAAAGCGCTGAAAAGCGAATAGTAAATATTCAATATAAGCACGTTTCGGCTATTTTCGAGCACTCAGCCAGCCGCCAGCCGCCAACCAAGCCAAGTGAGGCGCGCATTTAAGGAAGGCGTAGCTAGGTTCGAACGCTGTCGGCCTTAAGGACACTTTGCACGTGTGCGCCGCCATTTGCAATGCCTGACAATGGCCGCCAAGCACATCAGCAGCCAAAACATCAACAACAACAACAACAACAAAGAGAACGATGAGAACAACGACAACCGCAACAAACAAGCATCTCGCATCATATTTTGATATTTTGCATAAATACAACCCAGGCGCTCCTTGCGCTCGCCTTTGTCAGCAATTTTAAATTAATTTTATTTTTTATATGCCTGACTGTATATATATATATATATGTACGTTTGTATATTTGTATAGTATGCCGACAAGTTTGGCCCTGGCCCCGTCATCAAGTCAGGAACGTCCCCCATAAGAAAGGAACCGCAATCTAGACATGCTACGACTTTTTATACACAATGTTTGATGCGACTTGTGCTTTTTCTGAATACACTGGCAGTGAGGAGTATTACAATTTGGTCATGAAATGTGTAGCAGATAAAGAGTATAGATATATTCCCGATTAATATTAAAAGCTGAGTCGATATAGCCGTGTCCGTCTGTCTTTCTGGAATAAAACTTAGTAATAGCAGTAATGGTCTCGGAATAAGCTATAGTGGTCGGACCACTATAGTAAGAATCTTTCGAGATAACCTTTATATTATTCAAAATAAAAATAAACCTAACTTCAGCCAAGATGAGCTTTACCAAACGTCTCGCATATCTCTTAAGACGTTTCCCACCTCCTTCCAGTATTTTATAGCTTTTATTGATAAGCCATAAATTTATCAGGGTATTTAATCTTCGGCATGCCGCAGCTAGACGTTCTTTCTGCTTTATTTTTTTTTGTGCTGTCGCCTTATGCAGATGGATTTGCTTTGGTACACACATGAAACACACACTCACACACACGTCAGACACACCCACTTGCTAAATCACAATCTTTGCCAGGCAGCATATGAAAATTGCGTCTTGTGTAATAAAAAGTCGAGTTTATCTGCGCTGCGTTCGCTCAGAAAAACTGATTTACTTTGCAATTTTATGACTTTATTAAGAATTATGCGCTGTTTTGTATATATATTTACAATACACAGAACACACACGCACAGGAAGTTAGAGCAGTAGCAGGAAACTCTCGCACACACACACAAAATGCAAGCCAAGTTGACTGTGTGCATACATTACCCAAAGTCCTGGCTGGTGTCCTGGCTATATGCTGCTACTGCTCCTGCTACGGCGGCTACTGTTGCTTGACTCACTTGACCTCTAGCAAATGACATGAAAATCCTTTGATAGAGCGTTGCACACACATTCATTCATATCAAGCCAAGCCATGGACACAACTTATGAGTGCATATATATATATATATATTCTGTTTTTTTTTTTAAGCAACAAAATTGCACAAGGACTCGCAGCACTCCTGTTGTATGCCAGATGCTGCTACCATTTGGTCTATAGATTTAAATGCAAGCTATGTGGCATGCACTTGGCATAACCCAAGCACAAAATTTGCAACAAATAACCTGCGTCTGCTCATTGTGAATGTCTAGTCAGAGGGAGAGAGAGTGAACGAGAAAAGGGGAGAGTGTAAGAGAGCAAGCGTATGGGTTGAGCTGACAAATGATAATGTTGTGCGATATGTTTGGCATGTAAGTTGCCGGATAATGGTACGTATTTATGTGCATGTTTTTATGGCCACTCATCGCGTAAATCAGCATTAGAAAACTGCCGCTGAGTGCTGACACTTCTCCTCTTTTTTTCTTATTTTTTATCCATGAATTGGCTTAATTCGTTGATTTTACACTTGGGAACAGCAATATCAGCAGCAATAGCTGTTGTCGCCTTTGACCTTTTCCGTGGCCTTCACTGACACCTGCGTTTGTCAGCTACCTAATAGTATTTTATCAATGTTGCCCCATCTAGCACTGTGTATTGTGCCATTTAATTAGTTTTGTCTACCCTTTAAATATAGCTAAAATAGGGTAAGGGGCTGAGTGAAAGGCACTAAGGGACATTTAAATATATTAATTTGATATCGAGAAGTTGAAATACTGCGTGTAGCAGTGTTGCAAAACGAACTGTAACGGAAACATTCAGCTTCGACTGTCGATAGATATAATAGTATGAGAAATTAGGGGCTTTAAGAAGAGTATAATAATATCATATTCAAAAAATTCCAAGATAATATCAATAATTGTACAAAATATAAGGGGCTTTGAGAAGGCATTTATCTAATGACTTCAAAAACATTTTTACGACAATAAATAAAAAAGCAGTAATTTTTATAAAATGTATTTAAAGGCCAAACTTACCGAGGCACAGGATATCTGTCAATCGAGAGCGTTGTTTAAATGCACTTGTTTTTTTTTTGTTTGTTTATTTAGAATCCAAATTTGGCACACTTGTAGTCACATAGATGCGGTATTATGCTTTTGTGATAAGAAACTTTGGCGAGGACACTTGGCCAAGGATTTTCCACTCGATGAAAATTGAGAGATTTGTGAGCGGTAAAATTGAAAGTCGGTTGCTTTTATGTTCGCCGAAATAAAATATATGTATACGTATATAATCTCATTGTGTTGAAAAGTGGTAAAGGAGATATTGGCCTACAATTTGGCATTGACATGGATGGCAACGACGCCATCCTCCTCGGAGCTGCCAATATAAATATTGGCGCGTCCATCAGAGCCAACGGTGATGGTTTTGCCGGTGCAGCCGGAACCGCTCTTTGTGCCGGAAATGACATCGCAATAGGTGCCGGCGGACAGGCCAGTCTGCAGCGAGCTATTCAGATCATAGTTGTCATTATTGAAGGCAACAAAGCCCTGGCTGCCGCGGCTGAACGAGATCTGATTGCTGCCATTATCCCACCAGTTCTGCAGCTGGGCATCGCCGACGGCATTCCTGAAGGCAACCATATTGTAGATCTGGCGCCAACGATGCTCGCACACCCAGCCGCCGCTGCAGGAGTTGTCGCTGTTGAATTGTGGCGAGGCAATGTTGTGGCCATCGGTGGTCGGTGGTCCCTGGTCGGTGTCATCGAAGGCAAAGGAGGACATGATGCGTGGCGTGCCAAAGGGATGGGCCAACATGAAGGCGGAGGCCATCTTGTACTGCTTGGGCACCTTGTAGGTGAGCACATCGGCACCGCCGGCACCATGACCGCGCTGGTTATCGTGATTATCGACAAAGACAAGGGAGCGATCGGAGGCGGCAAATCCCCAGGAGGTGCCCCAATTGGTCAGATAGCGCAGCTGATCCTTGCCGCGGAACACCTTGCCAATGGAATCGGAGTGACGGAATTCAGTGATGGCGCCCAGGCCGGTGTACTCGGACTTGGAGATGGCCTCGCCGCCCAAATCGATGACCTCCTGGAAGATATATGGCTTGGCGCCCGAGCTGAAGCCATGATTAGTATTCAAATTGTTCAGACGTCCATAGATGGCCTCCAAATCGCCGGGCCACATATGCTTGGCGGCATCCACACGGAATCCGGCAACGCCCAGATCCGTCAAATGGTTCAAGAAGTCGACAATCTTGTCACGCACCCAGGAATTGCCCTGGTTGAGATCGCGCAGACCAACCAGCTCACAGTTACGTACATTGGTGGGATCCGCATAGTTGGTAATGGCACAGGTGGGATTAAAGTCCAGCGAGGAGAAGGGCACGGCCGGGAAGCTTTTGGAGCTGGGATCGGCATTGCTGCCGCCAGTGCCAGTGGTGCCACCATTGGCGGCCATGTGATTGAACACCACATCCACATAGGTGCGTACGCCGACATTATTGCAACGCCTCACCATATTGGCGAACTGCTCCTCATTGCCGGAGCGAGTGTTCAGCTTGTAGGAGATGGGCTGATAACGCTCCCACCATGGCCGATTGCCAATTACAGCGTTCTCATTGACAGGCGAGACCTGAGCGGGGGGATTGGCATTGAAACTAATGTGCTGGCAATGGCTATAATTTGGCTCACCTGCAGACCGGCATAGCCGTAGGGGCCCAGGAAGTTCTCACACTCCGCCGCAATATCGTCCCATTTCCACTCGAACAGATGGACCATGCCGTTGCGTCCGCTCTGGTAGTTGGTGGCAAACTGGGCATGGGACAACGCCAGGAGGGCTAGACAAGCCAGGCCCTTGATCAGAAACATGTTGCTGCTGTTGCTTTGTACTCAAATGGAAACCCGTTCCACACTGAATCGAATGTAGACGCCGCAGGGCCTTTTATACGCAACACACCTGCAAGTGGGGGAAACACTCATCACAAGAACTTGGTAGCTCGTAATTGGTCAATAGGTTTTGCGTGGAATTGTTAAATGATTTGTGACGCAAATTCTTCGCTTATCACAATGTCAAATTTTGTTTAAGGGGGAGCAGAGACGCCGCACAGTGGGGTCTAGCGCGGCGTGCAGTGTGTTAGATTAGATATGCGACACGAGCGGGTTGCCAGTGTTGCCAGCTATCGCATAGCTCAAGCTTAATTTATGATACTAGCATTTTATTTTAACAAAAATGATTAGATAATTATAAATTTAATGCCTATAGGGGATCTTTAAAACAAAATGAATAAACAATATAGTATATCACTTATATCTTCCTGAACTTAAGTACCTAAGCCTCAGGCTTAACAATCAAGCATTGCCACTTCTTGGGAAAAGTGCTCTACCTTGCCTCTTTGTGGTAAGAAAAGTTCTCTACCTTGCCTCTTGGGAAAAGTTCTCTACCTTGCCTCTTTGTGGTAAGAAAAAAAACTTTATTTTTTTAAAGTTTTTTTTTTTTTTTAATTTTAGTGGTCATGAAGATCTTTATTTTCTTACAGTGTTGCCTTTTTTGTATTCCTGTTAATTTTGTGAGCTTGTAAATGCCGCAGACAAGGATTTATTTATCAACTTTTATAAAAAAAAACATTAATTCTTGAGCATGAAGCAGAACATTTATCGCCTTTTTTCTGTACAACACAAAAGGTGGCAACTCTATATATCAGTTGATACCGTAGTAAACGCATTTTATCCGCTAAATTTGATTAGTCCGTTTCCGCTAGAATTTCGAATGCCAATTCTATAGTTAGTTAGTTAAAACACTTTAATTGGTTTCTAAGGTCATTTTCACGCTGTCTTACAATGGGCCAGTGTTGGTAATCGAGTGTGTTGGCATATCGATAGCCAAACGATAGTCAGGCAAAAAAGCTGCAAAATACCTTAATTTAGCCACAAGGTTAGCTAATTTCATATATTAAATCACACCTTATAGTAGCTAATTTGGCAACACTGGTTGGCGTGTGCTTCACGTGAGCTTATCGGCTGCCGATTGGAATTGTCAGATTCGCATAACGCTTAGACACAAGATGGCCAATAAACTATTAGCTGGTAAACAGCGGATAACACAGATTCAAGGTAATTCGTCATTGGGAGAACCCGAAATGCAGACAGTATTTGCGTTGACAGGTTCTCCAGATAAAGATAGACAGCGAACGATTGAGGGGGGGCCTCACAAATTATATAGCATACAAATCGGCTGATTTACAGCCTGAGCTGGCACTGATTTCTGTTTATATATATTTAGACAGATATGACTATGTTTTTCTACGGTTCATCATAAATTTGTAGCTCTACTTAGCACACGGGTACAAAACATTTGCAGCTTATCAGCGCGCACTTTGTACGTTAACTACGCCAGCTACAGTACTTGCAAAAAAAATGCGTATTTGTTATATTTTTAAATTGTTTCCCGATAATCTAAACAAATTATTTTTAGCGATGTGCATTTGCATTGCGGGGGGGGAATCGCAATCACGCTCTTCCGGCGTGTTATGCTTGATCTTGAGATTAGAGTATTGAGATAGAAATCGTTGAAGATTAGAAGTGTGTTTTAAAAAGCACCATAAACTGCAATCAAAAAGCGCAATTAATTTGATTCTCAAGTGTTTCATAAATTGGCCACGTGCTATAAATGAATTTCATTATATATTGAGTCAAACTTTTGCAAGTTGCAATAAGTCATGTAGAATGTGTTTGTGTTTTCGAATTATGATCGCACAGCTGTTACGCCTTAGATAATATAAAATATAATATCCAAGAACAACCACATACCAAATTTTGTCGCTGTAGGCCATACAGTCTCTGAGGTTTACTATATGGACAAGACTGTTGAGGATTTAAATAATATGTACTTATATTAAATATGATATGATATATATATTTTAATATTGCAATGCAGCTCCCAGAATTAACTAAAAATTGTTCAGTTTCAGCTCACAGCCTATAATCATACCCCGTTCTCCTTCAATTCCAGGGTATGCAAATTGCAACAATTGGATTGCCACTTGAGCTGCAATTTGTGCGATTGTCGAGCATACGCAAGCAGCACTGTCTAAATTGTAACAAATACTTGAATTAATTATAATTTTTATCTCGAAAGCTCAAGCGAAATGCAATGTACGGCAATTGGAGTGGAAAATGTTTGATAAGTTTTCAATTAAATTAAAACAAAGCACTAAAAATTTAATTGTTTTTATTTACAAAAGTGAAACAGTTTCGAGTGCCATGGGACAGATAAGAAATACATGTTATGTGCGGCATATATGTATTGCATATGGTGTATGGATATTTGTGTGTAATCTATATGGGCGGCAGTTTCTTAGAACAATTTTTGCATTGTCAGTTGGCAAACAATGAAGTCAACTTGACGTATTTACGACTGAATAAATTTCTTGTTAGCCAATGTAAAAACCTAAAACAAGCTTTTTGCTAAGGCTATATCCGAGCATCAGCTGCATATAAGTGTGACTGTGTGTGTGAGAGAGAGAAAGTATATGTGTGTGTGTACACAATCAAATTATATAAGCCAGTGCAGCAACGGTGCAAAAAATGACACTTGTACTGGGGCATATTGATTTGGCAGAGGCTAAGCAAATTTACATATGCATAACGGGCCAGAAGAGGAGGGGCGAGGGGACAGACAAGCTGTCTAAAAGTCAAGTAACTGTATAAATATTTACTTTAAAGTAGGTATACGCAAAGGTGTACGTCGCCCCAGTACAGAATTGTGAGCATTTCCGCACATTACACCTGAAGTTGGTGAAACTTTGTAGCTGCCAAAAACTTTGCGGGCCAAAGAAATATGCCATCTTACAGTCTGGCCCAGTGTGTCGGTTTGTCTGCCTATCTGTCCAACTGTCTATCTGTCTAACTCTGGCAAGCCAATTTGAATTGTAAGCAAATCCCGGATATGGCAAAGTTCTGCAAAACGGAAACGTTTGCTGCAATTTCAATGCCAAAATGCCAGCAACCAAAACTGAATTGAGCCCAAAAAAATATATATATAGGTGCGCTCCCTTGACAAACCCAACTGCAATCTATAAGTGCAACCACAAGCGGCAGACTTTTGAAATATAGTTTAGATAAGTAAGCTTAAAACTTTACAATGCCAAGCCCAAACACCCCACACAGAGATTGAGACAAAAAATGAGAGAGAGAGGGCGAGAGAGTGAGAGGGAGGGAGAGAGAGCAGCAGCAGCATGTGCGAAAAATTAATTTCCATTTAAATTAAACTTATGAAATTGAACAAAAGTTGTTGATTTTTCACAGTAGCTGTGCGTGTGTCTGACAGTTGATGAAACAATGCAAACTTACTTATTATTATTGCGATTATTGCAATGAAATTGAAACATGCTTTCGACTACAGCATTAATGCCCTACGTTATATGGAAATTATGAGTATAAGCCGTGGCTGTATCAGTGAACTGAGACTCAGAGTGTGTTTGTATGAAACGCCACGAAAAGTGCCCATTCTCAGAAAGATGAGTTCAGCAAAAGGTTTCGCTGAAAACCGAAAAAAACTCCGAGAGTCGAACCAATAACTTCTCTTTGGGCTACATTTTTACATCTATTAACCCAAGCATGGAAATGGGCGTGGTTTTTCATATATTTTGTTTTCAATTTTATTTATTAATAAAACCCATGTTCAAGGTATTTTCGTAAGAGCGACGAAAATGCAACACACAAGATTACGCATAGTACTCATTAACGATAAGAAATACTCAAAAATAAAAGTACGCATTTCGAACGAATGATAAACGACTGTTTCTGCATAATTTTATTGTGCAAGCGAAAGAGTTTATTTTCGAGAGCGTGGTCTGCATGTAAGACACAGAACAGTTAATTCGCCCACTGCAGCAGTTGTTTTTTTTTGTTTTTATTTTTCTCATTACTTGCAGGTGCCAAATGAATTACTGACGAGTCAAGTGAATACAAAAAATGAAGAAGAAGCTGCAGTGGCAGCGGCAACGGCAGCAGTGGGAGTAGATGATATGTGTGGCAGACAACACGAAGTGTGTGTCATAAACCCGTTTACATGCAGCACTTAACTGCAAACCATCGACAGAGGGCAACATATGCTATGCGAGTGTGTGTGTGTGTGTGCGCGTTATTTGTCGCCTGTCAGCCACGTAATGCGTTTTACGTAACTAAGTTACATTTTCCATTTTGATTGCAATATGCTAAGCATTCTGTAACAACACACTCACACACTGACACACACACACACACACACACAGTGCCACATATACATACACACACAATGCGTGCTGCTAAGTGTGTTTACCGTTTAACACGTTGCGCAATTTTATGGCATACTTTCAGGGCGGCGCTGCGCTCAGCTCAGTCTTAACTGAATTTGTCATGGCAAAGCCAACGGCTTAAAGTCCTTTAATAACATAAATTTGCCAGCACAGCTAATAAAATATAATACACTGCCAGCCCCAGTCTGGCGTCCGAGGGACTACAACAAAGCAGCCGCTGCCGCAGCGAACGCTCTTCTTATACCCTGTAAACTATGAAAAGTGCAGTGGAGTGGATGCAAGTGGATGCACGCAGCAACAGTTGAATGTGTATAGAAATCATAAAGAGTAGACACAGGCTCTATAAGCACAAAAAAATATATAATAGTCTAGAAGCCATTTTTTTTTTGCATAGCTCAGCTCTTTCCAAATGCGTCCGGCTTGAAGATATATACATGCCCAATTACATTATGTGTCACAACATCCTTTTCAATGCGTTCCGCTGAAAGACATATATAACTCAAAATAAAACCTATTCACAGGGTATATGGCAGACACATCTATTCGTTTTAACTGACAGCATTGTTAGCACAAAAAAAGTGACCAAATGAAATGCAAGCAGCGGCTAATAAAAACCAACTTTGCCG